AAGGGTCAAGTTAAGGAACGTGTATAAAAGACTCATGGAAAAAGCCAAAGAGGGAGTGGGAGGACTGAATGTGGGGGGTAGGGGTAGGGGATGTGTAGGGCAGGGGAGAGTAATGGGAGGGAAATGAAGAAAATTGTAATTGAACAAGTTTTAAAAAAAGAAAAGAAGAATTGTGCAGGAAGCCCAACAACTTTCTGGGTTTATACCCTGTTATTCTGTTTATTCAATGTTTCTACTAAGCATTTTAAATTAATTCTACTTTATTTTACATTTTAGGACTGGCACATCAAACATATTTAAGAAGAAAAAGCAATAATGTATTTTAGGGGAGAAATAAAACAACTTCACAATTATTAAGCACTTCTATGTGCCAGATAGTTCTGTCACCATCAGCCCTACAAAGCAGATGGGAAAACTAAAACTGAGGAATAGCAACTAGCTGACCCACAACCATGGAGGCAGGCAGTGACATAGCTATCATTTGAACCAAATTTGTGTGATTTTCCAAACCTGTCTTTTACCTACGATATACTACACTGCTTTCACTTAAGGAAAACCAGGTAACATTTTATGAGCACCACATACCTTTAAAAGTAAAGCTATAGGTAGAAAGAAAGCTATTTTTCTGATGGTACATCTATGACATAGGGTTTTGGTATTCTAAGTAATCATAACCTTTATTTTTTAAGTCTTAAATTTTGTGTCTCAAAATTGGTGACTTAAAAAAAAGGGATATTGCAGCAGGGAGATAGCTTCAGTCCTTCAATATTTTACAAGAATTTGGTGGTTTCAATCATTAGAGCCTAGTGGTTAAGATTGATTGGGTTCCAATTTTGGTTCAATCATTATTGGTTCTGTGATTTTGGACATGGCACTCTGACTCACTTTCCTCATCTGAAAAATGAGGATAATGATTCCTAAGGTTACTGTGAGGATTAAATGAGTTAAAATATGTAAAGCTCTTGGAATGTTAATGGAAGTAATGCTCTATGTTTTTTTCTAATTATTTACATAACTGAGAAGACAGTAAAATAATTAACTTTAACTGATGTTGGCTAATAGATAAGTTTTTAAGAAGCGGGCCATAAGATACCACACAATCAGCAAAAATTAGTATATGTTTTACCAAGGACATCATCAAACAAAACTCTGGTGCAGTAAGAATGTCTGAAATAGAATTCCTGATATATTATGCTGTCTGATGATATACAGTAAATAAACAATACATTTTAGATCTTATAATATGCCTCATAAAATAAGTTCAATAAGATGCTTGACTATAAAATCTATTTCAACTGGAAAATGGTATCCAAGATGGTTGCTTGGGTAAACTATAATATGCTCTTTCCCTACTCAAAAATCATATAAGGCTTCTAGAACTTAGCATGAAAGTCTTGTCCTTACAGAATATATCTTCAACTGTACTGGGGTTATTATGTTTGAGTGTCCCAAAACGACACTGTTCTACAGCATTACCTCAATCTTTTGACCTCCCTAAGGACTGCTTTATTTCCACATACACCACCTAATCTTAGAATGATTTTTCTTTACAATACCTGATAGAGGAAAAAGACAAAGAAGAAAGGAGATGACAAACTAGTAGAAGAAGGCTTTGATATTATATGCCTTCTTCACTGATTTCCAAACAGGTGTAAGAATTGGTCAGCGGGCCCTAAGAATCTTGCCAGTGCTGTGCATGTGGTAATCCAGGTTAGGCAACTCATCTCTCCTGACTCCATGGAAAGGAAGCACTGAGAAACCCTAACCCAGCCCCAAGCTTTGCTTTTCAGAAGGAAGGACACTTTGTGACACTCAAGGGAGGGAGACAGATCAGAAGTTGCTTGGCATTCAAGATAGAAGAATAAAGATTAGAAAATTAAAGAATCTTTGCATTGGTGGGCACCTTAGAGGTTAATTCACTTCAACATTTTTTTTTGCAGTGCAGGATTCTCCTTCACAGAATCTCTGAGAGGTGGTCCGTTAGCCTCCTCCCAAAGACCTTCAGTTATTGGGATCTTATTTTCTCGAGTCCTCTGGCTCTAAGCCAGAAATCTGGGATGTATATAAGATCCTTTACATCACTCATATCCAATTAGCCACTAAGCCTTATGTATTTACCTCTTAAATCTCTTAAATCTATCCACTGTTCCTCCTCCCACTATCTTAGTTGAGACCTCTTTTTTACATTCCTTTCTGTGGTCCTGAAAGAAGATCCAAGTACCTGATTACTTACTACCAAATACTTCACCTCTAATCCATCCTCACATGGCAGACTGCAGAGTAGATATTCTAAAACACAAATCCAGTCACTTCCAGTTGAGATGGTGCACTAAGGAAATGCTGTGCTCACCTCTTCCCATAACCACATTAAAATTACAACTTATACAATAACCACACTTGAGAAATACCTGAATATGAACTGAACTCCTACAACTAAAGATGTAAATAAGAAGCCTCACTGAGACTGGTAGGAGGGCCAGTGATGCAAAACATGCTGGTCCCACACCCATGTGTAGCAATTAAAAATCAGGAGGGACATCTTGGCTGTGGAGATCTCACAGCCCACACCAGGATCCCCACCCCAGAGCACCAGTGCCAGGAACAGGAGTCCCCAAAACATCTGGCTGTGAAAATCAGCAGGGACTCTGTCCAGGTGAGAAGGGGAACACTATATATCCAGGTGTCCTCTTAAAGGGCCTGAGCACAGACTCACTGCGCTCAGCCCCAATGAAGAGGCAGCACTCCAAAAGTGCCAGGGATGGGTATGTGGGAAGGAAGAGAATTACCTTGCTGCAGGGCAATGGTTGAAGAGGCACCTCTCTAGAGGACTAAAGGGCTGGGAGCCACCATTATTCCTTTGGTGAGGCCTCCCGTAACCCAGGGTGCATGTGCAAGTGGGCACCAAATCTAAGTTTTCCATTAAGTGGCTAACACAAGGTGCCCCACTCAAAACAGGCAAGGGCCCAAAGCTCTTTCGGTGTCTGTTCCTTCCAAGTGGCTGGCCCTGGCCCATGCCGCACAGTTTCCTAAAATCTCTCAAAGGTCCACAAATCCCAAACGAGCACTGGTTGGCCTTGGTGTGCCCTGTACCTCTTGCGAAGTGTCCCCATGCCTGGCTCTAGTCACAGCTGTTGTTTGTTCACAGCATAGCCTCTCCCAAGTGTCTCAGGCCCATCACAGGTGACTACCAACCACAGATCATTTTGTAGCTACCACCAGGTGGCCTGGGGCCAAGCACAGGTACCAAATTACCTGGAACTGCACCAGAGCCCCACCCACAATTCCCCAGAACCAACACATGTGGTGGCTGGCTTTGACCACACCAACACAATGCCCAATTAGTTCCATAAATGCCACACCCAAAGGACGGACTCAGCAGGCAATAGACATCTCTTAAATAAACTCTGTTCTGTGGGGTAAGCACCTGCACAGCAACTTATCTGCTGCAGTCACAACCAGTGAACATGAGGATCAATCTCACCCACATGCTAACAGCAATCGAGGCTCAACCACAACAAGAGGGCACACACAGCCCACACAAGGGACACTCCTGGAGCACCCAGCTCAGGAGACTGGGAAGACTACGCCTCTGGTCCCCATGGGACACCTACTACATAAGGCCACCATGCCAAGAGTGAAAGGCATACTAGATCTACCTAATACACAAAAACAAACACAGGGAGGCAACCAAAATGAGATGACCAAAAAACAGGTTCCAGGTGAAAGAACAGGATGAAACTCCAGAAAACCAATAAACTCACAAAAAGCATTTTGGAAAATATAACATCAAATTATGATTAAAAAAACTCTCAGCAACATTGGAATAGAGGAAGCATACCTCAACATAATAAAGGACATAAAAGGACAAACCCACAGCTAACATCTTACTTATCAGGGAAAAGCTAAAAGCATTTTCTGTAAGACCAGGAACAAGATAAGGATATCCACTTTTCCACTTATTCAACAAGCACTGGAAGTCCATAGCCACAACAATCAGACAAAAAACATAAATAAAGGGCATCCAAATTGTAAAGGGAGAAGTAAAATTGTCATTATTTGCAAAAGACATGATACAGAGAACCCTAAAACTATTAGAACTGGTAAATGAATTCAGTAAAGTAGCAATATGCAAAATTAATTTTCAGAAATAGGCTGAATTTTTATATTCCAATAATAAACTATCAGAAAGGGAAATTAAGAAAACAATCCCATTTATAATTGTATCACAATAATAATAAAATATCTGGAAATAAATTTAACCAAGGAGGTAAAAGACCTGTGCTGAAAAAATTACAAGACACTGAAGAAGTACAAGTAAATGGAAGCATATACCGTGTTCATGAGTAGAAGGAATTAATATTGTTAAACTGTCTATACTACCCAAAGCAATGTACAGATTCAGTGCTATCCCTATTAAAATAGCAATGGTATTTGTCACAGAGCTAGAATGAATAATCCTATTGTAGCCTGAAATTCATGATGTTGCCTACCACTCCAGTTCTCATTTTAGCCACACTGAATGGTTGCAGTATCACCTGTACCAAGCTGTTTCACATCCCCATTCTTTTGTTCATGTTGTTACCTCTGGTTGGCACACTCTATTTTCCCTCTTCAACCAGCTAATTCAGTTCAGAAATTTTCTCTAGGAAGGCCTCTTTTGACACCTTTACCTATGTATTATAAAAAAAAAATCTTCCATGTGTATCTCTGTTACTACTTACAGTAGAATCATCAAGTTCATCTCTTTCCCTCCAGGTGTGTCCCTCAAGGTAGGAACTATGTCACACCCTTAGAATATGTCACAGGACTCGTGGTAGCAGGTGGTTAGTACATGCCAAGAACGTAGAAGGACTTTTTATTATGTGAGTTAAAATATGTAACTAGATTGTCCACCTTTTGCTCCACGGGACAATAAAACCATCTTTCCAGGGAAATGTAGCATTTGGCAAATGCATGAAAAGGCAAAGTTTAAATACTACTTATATGACATTTGCACTTACCTAAGTTGCTGTATGTTGCACTACAGGAATTCAAGTCCATAGGATCTAAAATGTCTTCTTTTTCCTCTTCCTTTTCCAGTTCACATAGGGGCAATGCTGGTGTGCAACCTCCACCATCTTGCTTCACAACAACGGTTCTTGGATCCCAAGAAGAAAAATCCTCTGTCACTTCATGAGTCACATGACTGAAACAAATCAGACGACTGATTAAATGTCACACTGGCAATTAAAGGTCTTGCTAAAATTTAGATATATGGAAGGGATATACTTGCCATAAGTGTAAATAATTGGCCCTATAATCCAGCAATGGGTCATAAGCCACAACATGGTTGTCTGAATATAAGGCAGTCCTTCATGAAGCTGATATTTCTATTTATCTTGGTTCATACATATTAAGAATTCAGTTTTGTAGAGGAGGTATGGAGGCTCAGAAGGAAGTTTGAGAATTGGAGGTTAAGGACTGAAACTATTTTTTTAAATGTAGGAGGTGGCAATGGTGGTGTTAGAGGAAGCTGAATGCTTAACTGGTTATAAGACAAATATACTCAAATATTTAGCATATTTACTATACTATAGTACTATAATACTACAGTAAATGCCAAATACTTTACTATTTAGTATTTATTTAGTATATAGTATTTACTGCACACTAAAGTATTTACTAAGGTATTTAGCAAAGGATCAGAAATAAAGTTGAGGTTAAACTGTTTAATAAGAAAGTTAAGTCATTATTTTAGTAAGTAAAATGAGGTCAGGAAGGTCTTGTTGCCAGGAGGACAGAACATCGACTGTTTTTTATATGCATGCAAAAGGCAAGGCAAGTGAAAAAGAAAGTTCTGCATTCTAGTTACTCTTATTTATTATTAGCTAATTTGCTTATTAGCTATCTCTTCTAATCTTCCCCACTCCCACTCTGCCCAAACTGGTTATTTGTTGCTACAAAGTATAAGGGGATAGGATGGCCATTAAATACTGGAGGAGAAAACTGACTTAATTAGAAAATCTCATTGGGCTGGTCAATGAAATAAATTAAAAAATCAGGCTTCTTTAATGGTTTCTGGGTCCATTGAAAGTACTCCTAGGTGGTTAAACACTCACCAGCTCTTCTTCCTGGTTTTTATTTTTTATTTCTTTAATGGGCAAAGAGAAAGAAGGAGAGAAAACATATATTATTACATGTTATTTCTGGATTTTCAACTGGCAATGAGTTGTGGTGACATTTACAAGTTTCTTTAAAAAAGGTACTCTATTTGATCATGTGTCATCAGAACATCTGTCACTTAGGGGTCTGTAAGAGAAGGAGCACCTCCTTATCCATCTTTCCTAATGGAAATTATCCATGTACCTGAATAGAAAAATAAACCTTGAAGTCTTCTGGATATATAACTTCAAAAATATTCTTTCAAAGAAGGGAGAGCCAGAGGTCTCTCTACACTGGGAGTGAACAATGAGCTAGAGGTTGCATTATGGGATGCAGCTCTTGAGGATAGTAGTGAGGTGGGCAGGAATCACTCCATGAGCAGCCAACAGAAAATTTTTCATAAAGGAAACTGCACACAGTAAAGCATGCTGCCTCTTCTCAAAGGGCTGCCATTGGATCATCAACCCCACAGCAGTGCTCCAAACAGAGGTGATTTCTCCTTATATAAATGATCACAAAGTCAAGGGAACAAGGGGGCTCTACTTCCATACATTAGCAAAGAAAAAGCAAGTGACACTTCTGAGACCCTCTCAGACACTACTTAGTGTCAAGATTATTGATCGTTGAGTAGTTATTAAAATGCTTCAAGAGAGGAAAAGCAAAAAATATAAGCAATTTATGATGTCAAAGCTATAAAAGTATATAAAATATATTTTATGTATTTTAAGCACAAAATATTTTAAATATAATATGTATGATATATAAATATATTAAAAATATCAGCTCCACCTTGAGAGGAAACAAGTTAAACCTCTAGCCATTCTTTTTTTTTCAAGAGTCACCTTGAGAGGTTTTTATAAAGCTGTTTTTAGGCTCCTAATTTTTCCAGCTCTACTCTTGCCTATTCTCTTTCTTCCCCCAATCTCCTCATTATTACTAAAAGAAAGCTCTCTTTTCCATTTGTCAAAAAGGATTGCTGGTTCAGAAACCATGACTCTATCTTCACTTGTCTGTTTTCCTCCTGGAGGATGGGCTATTAAAAATGAGCCTTGGCCTACTGTGAAAACCACAGAAGAGTTGCTGCTATTAATCTGTGAGGAATTCCCTGGGCCTGAGTCCATGGATGTGAATCACAAAGCTCTGTGCTATTAAGGGCCTCCCAAAACAAAATATGGATGCTAAAAAAACAAGAAATATTAAAGACTCACCTACTGTACCCGCTCACACAATTCCCCATTAAAAGATATTTGACACGGCCTTCTGGAGTCTGTTAATCATATTTCAAAACTCAGATGAATCACAGTCCCACTGAGTTCCGGAGAATTACAGGTTGGGCAAGATATAAATGGCTCCAATTCTGCACCTTAGTATCACTCTCTGCACCTTGACCTTTACCTTAGGGGTTTGGTCTGGGAAATAAGCCAATTACCTTTGAGAAGCTAAGTAGAGTAAAAGCTAGTTTTATTAACTCTTTGAGAACAAGGGCAGCTCATCGTATATTCTACATAAGTATCATTTTCATAAGCCCATTTACAATAAGTGTACTGGTATATTGATTCTCCAATTAAAATAACTGTCAACTATAAAAAAAAACTTTACAAAGAAAGTTAAAAGTAAAATCACATGGGTTTGCAAATGGAGTATTTTACAGTGATGTAGTATCTAAAATGGAAGAGTTTTAAAACATGTATCAATGATACAGAATGTCTCATCTTGAGGGAAGAATAGCTCTTTGTATGACTGAAATGGTAAAAGAGATAGGAAAGGGAAAGCTTTTCAGAGTTCAGGTTTAAAGTGGTAATATGCTGTGACTAAAAAATAAAAAGGTGGTGGCGGGAAGGTGGAGACAAATGTATCTGAACAATAAAAATATATACATAAATTTTAAAAAATTAGAAAATAAAGAAAGAGGAATTGAGAAGAGCACCAGAGGACAACTCACCAGTACCGAAGGAGGAGACTTCAAAGTTCTCAAATCCCACACTTTTAATCTATTGGAAGGGAGAAAATTCCATTTTTTTCTGTCTCTTTAAGTATAAGACCCCCTGCCAAATGTGATATTTCTTAATCCTATCTTGTTTACAGGTCATCAACCTGATTTGGTTACACTTTCCATTTTTGACATTCTCAGATAGAAAAGTGTTGTGTCTACTGATGTCTATCTTAGTGTCTCCAATTTTCCACTAACCTTTCTATAGTCTTTAACTGAAACCTTCAAACTTCTTTGTAACCTGAGATTAATATTTAACTCAGATCTGATAAGTTCTTGCTAATATGTCTAATATAGTCTGGTCAAACAAAGGTAGCTCTGAACTGGTATGAATAAAGTAGCTAGATCTTGGAATGGAGAAGCTGGCAGCCATGTGCAACATCTTGAATAGACTCTAATTTTCAAACACTGCAGTTTTGCTTTTTCTTTTTTAATAGATCTGAATAGCAAAAGTATCTTCAAGAAACCAGATAGCAAGACAGCAAAGCAGATAAAAACACAGGCCACTGTAAATCACTGTTACCTTCATAATACTAAGAGAATTTAGTTTTAAAATCCTACAAAATACAAAGCCAGAATGGTCTCTGTGCAAATTAACAGAAAAGATAAATTAAACTTGGATGAAAGCAATAAAATAAGGATGTCCTTCTCAATAACAGAGGTACAGGAGTTCATTAAGATCACTATTTCAGCTTTGGTTCATTTCTAAAGAATGGGGTGAGATACTGATGTATTATTTCCTGAAAAGGCAAGATATTATTATAAGAACATACACATGAGCCTCTCCAATAGGATGGCCTAGAGAGGATATGGATCCTGGACTCTTTCTCAGAAGCACTAGAAAAGCACATCACTACATCTCTTCCCAGTTTCCTCTTATTTCCCTCAATGGTCTGCCTGCCCTTTGAGACAGAGGAGGGAGATGCTGAGATATGATTAAGTACATCTAATTCTCCAAAACCACTGTGGGCTCACTGAGGGAATGGGTGTGGGAAGGAAATGGGAACTAAAACTGTTCAGAACCTATTCCTACATCAAGCTGCACACTTGTCCAATTAATTTGTGAAAACACCTCAGAAGGTAGATTTTACAGAAGCAGAAACTGAGATTGAAAGAAGTAAAATGAATTGCCTTAGGTTACATGACTACTTATGTGGTAGAGTCAGGATCTGAATTTGATACTATCCAACTCTAACATGTATGTTCTTTCCACCGCACCGGCACCATTGGGCAGCTTGGTTTATTATAAAAACTTAACAATAAGTGCTTGATTATGAAGATGAAGAAGTAAAAGTACTTTGAAAACAATAAAGCTATTATGAAAAATGTGAGGTAAAGATTACAGATGTGTAATCCATTTTCCATTTTTGAAAAATTCTAAATAAACTCACTGTTTACATTGCTAAAGGGTTTATTTAAATATGAGCTGCTCTAATATAGAAAGATTGTTTGGCTCCTTGATAATAACCACATATTTGCCTGATAGTAACCACCACTATACCTCTCCATTTGCTCAGTGCTAGGTGCTAAGATTAAACATGTATCTCCTAACAATAACATTTTGAGTAATTTGTTATTTCCAAATAACAAGTAATAATGGCAGCCAAAACTTACATAATGCTTACTTATGTTTCTGTTGTAATCCGTGATTCTCAAAAGTAGCACTACTGACATTTTGGACCAAATAATTCTGTGTTGTAGAGGGCTGTCCTGTGTAGCAGGGTCACACCAGTACCTCTGGTCTCTAGCCAGTAAGTTTTGGAATCATTCCCAGCTTCCTCAGTTGTGACACTAATTGTCTCCACCTGGCCGAATATGCCCTGAGAAGCAAAACTCATCCCCCAACTGCCCCCATTTCTAAAGCTGCTACATAAATTCTTTTAAGTCTCACAACAACCTAATAGGGAGGTTATTATCCCTGTTTTACAAAGGAAGAAAATTATAGCCCAGAGAGGTTAAGTCATATGATTCATATAACACAGCTAGGAATGGCTGGAACTGAGATTCAAAGCCAGCAGTTCAGCTCTGCAGTTTGTGCTCTAAACAGTTACACT